AGCCCCGTTTATACTTCTCTGTCAGTTGCTTTGTTATCTTGTTCTTGGTGTATGAAGAATGGGTGGTATGTTGGTTTAGTACACAGGGTCTGGAGTCCTGTGATCTAAACTGGAATTCAGGCTTATCACTTACATATTATCAGGCCTTGATTATGCTATTTGACCTCTTGGGCTTAGGTTTTCTAATCAATGAAATTGGGATGACCAATATACTTGTCTCATTAGATGGTGATGTAAATTGAGACAGTCCATAGAAATAACATCTTTCTCATGCTTTTCTGTGAATATTTTGTATACAAGACATATTCCTATGGTGATAACTGTGCTCATGTTACAAAACTTCCCTTTGATTCTTTGTGTTGGCTTCAGTCAAGAAAGCCCTATGAGTTGTTCTTTCAGTTCTGACAGGTTGTTAAACAGTAATATATTCCTTTATTCCACAAATATTTATTCAGCAGCTTACTGGGATTCTCACAGCTTAATGCAATGGTGAAATTGAAAGATGTTTATAAATCTGGTTTCCCTCTTGCCTAATCAAGAGTCTATTCACCTGATTTCATATTCATGACTAACAGAACCCAAATGTTCAGTAACATGGAGATCTCCCGAAGTGTGGGTGTCAGAGATGGGAGAAGGGCTAGCTGGACGCCAGATGGGCTGTCCTCTTGCAGGGATTCTGGGATGTTCACTGAGAAAGGATATAAGCTGAGCATGTAAACAGGGCTGAATCCTAGAGGAAAGCTGGATTTTGATTTATGCAAAAGTATTTTTTAGGATAAAAGAATCCCTGCCTCTAAGGGTTAAATATCTGCAGTTTTATTTTTTTCCTTCCAATTTTTAGTTCCTATCTCTCTCCTATCCTTAAATCCTCATCCTTCAAGGCTATCAATTCTGTTCCATTTACTGCCCTTCCTCTTTTCATTACTATGTAAAGAATGCTCCAAAACATGCATTTAAATTTTTATGTAGTACTTGTTTTATTATACTAATAAATCCTCTTTTTGTTTGCCAAAGGCCTCTAGTGGATGTGAAGAGTTTATATGTAAATTAAGAAAACACTTTGTCACTTTAATGATACAGAGCTATATATAAGGGCAAATGAGTGCTGGATGAAAGAGAAGGCCGGCTAGGAAGGGCGTTTCTCTTCACTTATTTTCATAGGTCAATCCTCTGGGTCATTTGTCTCCCAGGCATCAGTCTGGTGGAGCACCTCTCAGCTCAACAGGAGAGGAGGCACTTAGTTCTTTTCTACATGAGATTTAAATACTGTTTCCTACCCCACTTTGATATGAGGAAAGACACAGTGGAAGCAATTCAAGCTTTCCATGAAGAAGTTCAGCCTTTTCACTGGTAGGGTGGTTTTTAAATCTGACTTTAGATTAAAATCAGTATGGGGGAGGTTAAAAGTTTTCTGATGTCTGAGCCCCATCCAAGAAAAGAATAAGTAATTAAAAATTGGTAGGAATAGGGTTTTCATATCATACAATATCACAATATGATTATAAAAGTACCCAAAACATTCTGCTTTACAGCCAAGTCCTGAGAGACATGCTTTCCTAGGGATTTGTTTGATAGCAGCACAGAGTAGTTTAGGAGCATTGCTGGATCAGGTAGAAGTCTCTCAATTCTTTTCACTGTTACACAGAAAAACCAGGCACGTAAGTATAGTTTCACTGACATAGACACACAATATGCTTGGAGACACACATAGCCCTAGAAATACCTGTAGACACACATTCTTATTCCAGGATGCCCTGGAACAGGTACACAGAATAAACATATACATTCACAACATAGGTGCATAGACACACAAACACACTAACATGCTCACATACATACACATGTAGGTATATGCAGATATAGGTATACAGATATACACAACACACAGACATGAGCATAGATATACATAATAAGGCTTTAAGCACACGGATTTGCCCACAAAAAAAAAATATCCAAGGGTTCACACACAGAATCATCTACACAGAGACACAGAGGGACCAGACAGGAAGTTATAAACCAACATGCATAGAATTGACTTTGGAAGCTTCTACTCTTGGCTTTGTGCAGGGTCTTGAACTATCAAGGGGATCATCTGCTACCTTTCTATGAATTTGATCTGGCCCAACTCAGTGCAATCTCTCAGATCCCTCACTGAGATGGGTCTTGTAGAAGGTAGGGTGGCAACTTAGCCTCAAAGGTAAGTTGGGTAACAAAAGTGGGTAACAAAATTCTATTAAATTGTCTCACCTGGTATGGAGCAACAGACATATTAATAGAAGACTAAGAAAGCCCTAAAATGATAATTGATAAATAATATTCGAGTGGCATCAAACATCTCCCAAATGATTTTACACTTTCAAACTCATTTTATTGTATCTACATTTATAGACAACTTTATAGGTTTGATCTCAATCTTATCTGATCTTCTGAGCTACTCAAGTAGATGGGTAGATTTATTACCTTCATATTATACTTTGAGGTTAGAATTGATATAATTATTCTTACTTTACAAATGGGAAAAAAAGAGGTTCAGAGATGAAGGACCCTATTCAAGAATATCCCAGGAAAAACCCAATTCCTAGTTCAGCATCAATTTCACGATTACAGTGAGCTGTATAGACTCTGACCAGGTATAAAGGGAGAAAAACTAGATAGTAGGGACCAAGCTCATGAAATAAAAGAGCAATATGCATGCCTCAGCTAGACTTAGAATCGAGTGTTTACCCCTAGGAGACACTGGGGGATACCTAGCAAGATATGTGCAACTGCTCTCTCTAGCACACAGCTCGATGCCATTATAATAGATTTGGAACTGACTACATCCTGGCCTGTTGTGTATTGAGATAATCTGGACTTTGTGGGGAGGTTTCTATCATTTGCTATTTTCTTTAAACTTCTGTCTGGGTGGAAATAAAACTGAGTGAGAAGACATTTGGTCATAGCAACATTTGGAATTGTCTTTTATACCTCACCTTTTTATTGGACTGTAGGAATAGCTGTGTGTTCAAAGGGGTGGTTATAAGATCTTCTGCCAACCAACATACATCTGTATACTTATTGAACAGTTATCATGAGCTTGTTTCTGAAATTGGATCTGTGGTAGCTACAAATGAGAATCTCTGTACTCAAATGGCTTCAGTTTTTATTTAAGAGACAAGTAGTGATTAGGAAATACAGAATGATTAGACAAAGATAAATCAAAGAAGACAGATTGAAGGCCAAAGAGATTAATTCTGAGTATAGATAAATTTTATTTTACTTTAAGTGAATTGCTTTGAAATAAATTGAATCACTTTACAACATATGAAAATAAAGATGTTTAAAATAGAAATACAGATTCCTAATGATATTTATATTTATATAATTTCAAATGATTAGCAACTCTGGGCTCACATTCCTACATGGAAAATGTTGTTAGGGAATTGTTCCCGTCTCCATACTTTCTTTGGCTTATTTCAATATCTTTTCACCCATTTGGGTTACCTTCCTGGCACTACATGTCTATGGGTTTACCATCTCTGATTAAGAAATAATTAAGCCCAGTCCCAATGACTGATGTCTTAGGAGTCCAGGGAGTAGCAGGTCAGTGAAGGCTGGAGCAGTCAAGGGAGGTCTCAAAAAGAAAGTGGGAACTAAATTGTCTTGTAGGAGATCAGGACTTAGACAAGGGAGGGATAGATGCAGGATACTTGAGAGCAGAATTCCTGAGAGTCGGCAGAAAAAAGTTAATTCAAATTAAATTCTAGATGCATTAAAGTTCTACAAATGAATATCAACATTTAAAATTTTAAGAAGACAATGTAAGAGACTAAATGATATAAGAATTTGGAAAGTTATACTTCAATTAAAAAAAGGAATTTGGAAAGAATTTTTTCCTTTAGACAGAAAAATCACAAACCATAAAAATTCTGCTTAACTTTTTTCAAAGTTAAAAAATACTTTGATCCAAACACAAATTGGAGATTTGGAATACAATGAATACCATAAGGAGTGAGTAAAACTGGCAAATAATTATGTAAAGAATGTACAAAGCATTCTTACAAATCAGTGTGAAAAAGGCAAGTTAACAAAAGGGCACAACATAATGAAAATACCATTCAAAAAAGAGGAAATGCAATCAGTGAAGATATGAAAGCATGTTCAACTAATAGGATTATGTAACTAAAACAACAGTGAAATGTAATTCTGTAATAATCATTTTTGCAAAATTCCAAGTAGTTGGTAAGAATGGGGAAAAATGGTAACTCTTAGACTGCTGGTGGGGATGTGAATTGGTAAAGCCCTTTTGATTGTAAGAGTGTATATTTTGTAAAGTTAAATATTTACTATATACTTTGAACAAACAATTGTGTGTGTATATACACACATATACACAAATCTCTTAGAGAAAGTATTTTGTATTTGCACAAGGAATCATTTGGAAGAACGTCCAATGTAGCATTGCATGTAAAATCCCAAAATAATTAGAATTTAATGTTCCTCAGCAAGATAATAGCTAAATAATTGGTGGTATACACACTCAAGGGAAAAACTATACCATAAAGAAAATGAATGGACTAGTACTACATATTTTAACTTAATCAAATGAAAATCCAAGTTTATGAGAAAAATAAGTTCCAAACAATACATATCATGTATAGTATTTATATCATATATTAAAACATGCAAAACACAATAAACCAATAAAAAACTGAATGAACATAGTCTGTGAGGAGGAAATAGTTTAGACTAAGAAATAGGTTTTGTGGCAAGAGATAAGACTGGCCTGATGTGGCTCAGAGACTCAGGGATGCCCGGAGTGGGACAGCCTGTGACATACAGGCTCTGTTGCTGGAGCTTTGAGAGCCGCTTTGCTTTCATTTTCTCATCAAGCAGCCATCACTACTGTCCCCTTTTCAAAGCTATTACGTAGGGGAGAAGAGCTGTTATGGATTCACGTGTAAGACACATCCATATATGGTTACAAGACATTATCCGAAGATGAAAGCCTTACAGAGCAGCCAGTGCTGAGAGATCAAGGAAGGGAGAGTTATAAGGCATTTTTCATTTTTCTTTCACCTGGAGGGAAGGTTCAGAAACTCACTCAAGATCCTTCCCTCAATCAAATAAACATTACCTATTGCTTGGATGTTGTCAGTGGCCTCTTAAACTACTCTTCCCGCCCTGCGTGGCTGCCCACAATCTGTCATCTTCATTGCAGATGAATGTCCTAATAACATGGCTCCCAATTTATGTCCAGTTCTTACCGTCTGAATAAGGCCCAGATTCTGCCCCTTCCAACAGCTGGCTCCAGCTTCTCTTGTTGGTCTTACCACTGCTCACGCCACAGATACGTGCTGAGAGCCTGGGTTGTACAGACGTCTTTGTGAGAACTGGGGACTTTAGGAGAACACAGTGGGCACGGATGCTTTCCTCAGAGTGCTCTCATTCCAGTGGGGGATGCAGCCAACAAACAGTGAAATCACAAATGGATGGTTGTGCATGGCACAACTGCTATGCCTTTAACAGAGTAAGTGTGACAGTGAGTGACTGGGGACATTAGATACAGTGGTCAGGGAAGACTCTTTGAGAAGATGACATTAGAGCTGAACTCAGAGAAAACAGGGGCCATGCATCGGTGGGACCGATGTCTCAATTTTCTTTCTTAGACTCTGGCCTAACTGGCCACCATGCCCTAAATGTGTTCTGTTCTTGACAGCTACACTTTGGCCCATGCTATTTCTTCTTTCTAGAACATTGCCTCTGATCTCCACCTGTGGTAGCTCTGTGCTGTTTGAGATGCCATCTCTTCTGTGGAGCCTTATCGATCCCCCCCACAAGCCAAATGCCATCGATCTTACCCCTCAGACTAATGTTAATGGTGGGATCTTCCCTCTTTTAGTTAGGATTATCCTGATTACATGTGACACTCGCTTAGTTGAAGTGAGGATAAGTGAAATGTATTGGTTTAAGTAAACAAACCATAGGATGAGCAGGGGTAGAGCCAGTCCCAGGGATACCTGTATGTTGAGATCTGTCGAAAGGAGAAGTGATTCTCTGAGTTGCCATTTGCCTGCTGTAGTTCTTAAAAGCATCACCCTACGGGGGCTTCTTTGTCCCAGTAGTGGCAGTTTCTTCCTGTGGCAACAGCTGAATCCTGTTTGCAGCTTTTTCAGCACTTATAGAATCAGCTTCTTGGTATCTGCCTTTCCGTCCTCTCACTTTGACTTCCATGTGCCCCCTAGACACTGGTACCAGCTACCCAGGACCCATCTGGAGAAGTCTAGGTCCCAGATCAAGTGATCACTCTCCCAAGTTCAAACACACCTCATCAGGTGGCAAGCAGCCTCTCCTCAGAGGTCTGGGTCTTGTCCCATGATGTGCCTTTCTCAAGAGGCTGTTTCAGCTCTCTTCTTTATTTCTTAATTGTAGTAATTCCAACTTCTTCCCTTTGTTCCCTCATCACTAGGGGTGGCAGTGCTTCCTCACTGGCTCTCTCCATGAAACCTCAATGTCCTTTTCCTTTTAACACTGTTGGTTACCTAGTTATCCTATACTTGAGTTAACAAGATTGTATACCAAATGCTCTTTGTTGAAACAACGAATGTGATCGTTTCTGATTCCTGACAGGTCCTCACAAACTGAAAGGAGCATTTCCAAAAATTCTCAGAGCTGGACAGTGTCATACAGAAAACGTACCACCAAATCTTCTAAATTTCCAATCGTCTTAATGTCAACTATTTCACATATATAATACAGATCAATAACATAATGGATAGTTAATTAAACTCATTCATTCTAATGACATATCACGTGTCTGGGCTGTGACAGTCCCAGAAGTTATCTAGGAGAGTCTTAAAACCACCCTTGAGATACTCAGGCAGTTCTATGCCTACCATTCTGAGTCTTGCCATCAGTTAATGGGCAGTGTCTGTGCTTGTCTTCAGCTTCTTAGATTCTTTTAATCAATCCAAATATACTCTGCTTCAGAACTCAGAAGCCTTGGCTTTCTTAAGGTAGAGTCCCCTTCATTCTCTCTTCTTTTGACTGGTACAAATAGTTAACTTTCCATCTTTTATCCTATCTCCAAACCAAACCAACGCAACTGCTTCAGCACAGAGCATCTTGTTTGTACCCTTAAGGCATATATTATATCTAGCATCTCTCTATAGCTGGGACAGGGATAAAGAAAATGATATTCATTCATAAGTGTTTGCAGTCCCTCCCCCTCCCCCATCGCTGATTTTTATGGAGGTGTAACTGTTGATTTCTGTGTCAGCTCCTAGGTCTTTCTTTGTAGCGTAGACTCTGAGTAAAGAGAGTTAGAACATTTGAAAAGGGCCACAGACTTAAGTTGATGTGACTAACCAAATAACTAAGCCAGAGAAGGCAGAGGTGGAAGGATAACATAAAAGCCTGTTTGAGCTTATGGCTGATTTAGAAAAAGATGGCTTTTATTTGTATTTTTGAGAGGATTTTGGAATGAAGAAAAGGAGAGAGAGATTTTGAAGTCCTGCGGCCATGCATGAGTGAGGGAGGTTGAGAGTGAGAGAATTTTAAGGTTTGCTGAGGGTTGTGAATGGGAGTGTTAACTGGCACATGTAAATAGGCTTCAAGGGAAAGAAACATTAAGTTTCAGTGATTTATGGTTGTCACATTGAGGCTTCTTAAAATATGACTCCATGCTAGGATTGACCTGATTATTTAGTTTGTTATGTTTTCTATTGTTATTTGGTATTTTTCTAGTTTATCTCCCCATCCCCAATACAATGGATATTTCTGGAAGGCAGAGGCTTGGCATCTCCCACAGTGCCTCTGTCCATGCCTTGCACATAATAGTCATTTCATGATTGCTGAAAAATAATTTTATTATCATCATCTATCCTATATATGGATCACTTATTGTCTATTATTAACCCTATACCCAAGATTTACTCCTCTCAAGCAGTAATATATGAGCAATGATTACCATTTCCACTTTTCAAGAGAAAACAGAGGATTCTAGTTGTTAATAACTGGCCCAAAGTCATGGATGCATCTAAAAAATATGTATTTTTAGCAAAAATAATCAGCCAAGAAACTTGTAGTACTCTGGCCAATTCATTGATCAGAACATCTTCACAAAGTGCAGCTCTCTGAAAGTTATGGTGCTAGCCTGCTCCTTCCTATTCATTGCATGGGAGACATCAGAGACTGCTAGGATGGACTTAGTTTTTGATAGGTGAGCCAGTGGTTCTTTCCCAGGATATTTCAGCCTGTAGTTTGGAGATACTAGTACCCCCTCCATTTTCTTCATTTATTGGCAAGTACTTCATCTACCTCTTCCTGCATCTGTCTCTCCCCAAAATTCCCAAACTGTTGGAGATGTCCCAGAGAAAATGCACCCATCTTACTCTTTTGGAGGAAGGACTTTCTCCTGTTACTGGCTTTTTTTCCCCAAGCCATCAAGAAATTTACTTTTGTGAAGTACTGGAAAAAGGACTTTGTGAACTTGTGTAGAGAAGCTATTAATGGTAAAGGACGTACCTTTGTGCTGAAATAAGTGGCTGAAAAAAATGGGGGATAAGTGAGAGAGACCTGAGAAGAAGCCTCTCTGCTAGATATAATGACATGGTGGAGGGAAGGGCCTGGGGGAAGTGGGAGGCAGGTTTGAGTGAGGCGCAGGAGCAGGTGGTTATCCAAGAGCACTCGCTCTCCTCATTAGCGCCCCCTGCCTGTCTCCAGCTCAGAGACTCAGCTTTACTTTCCTTTAGCAAAGGGGGAGGCATTACAAGATATTTGGTTCTCAACATCTGGGTGAGAACAAATTCTTAATATGTGATGAGTCAAAGAATAAAAGAATCCAGGAATAAATTCACAAAGAAGTGGTTAGACCAGATGGAGCATTATCAGAAATAGCAATAACATTGCTACCACCACTGTAATTTATTAAAATAGACTATGAGCCAGATCCTGTGCTAAGTGCTCATCCATTTCCTCATTAATGCATTGCAGTAACCACCGAGGTAAACCAAACTGCTATATGTGTGTCCTGAATGAAGCTATGGAGGTTTAAGGGGCTTAAGAAATGTGCTTAAGTTTGATGGGATGGTAAGTAGGAGGTCTGAGATTTGAACTTGTGTCTGTCTGCCTACACTAAGATGTCAGACTTTGGAGAAACTTTGTGAAGGCTTTGTTGTTATTATTATTTCAATTATACAGATGAGCAAACTGAGGTTCAAAGATTGACTACCTTTCTTATCAGGGATGCAGGTTGTTGGAATCACTTTGACTCAGGTTTGACTCCCAGATTTGCCTTTTAAAAGTTGCATGATCTTGGGCATTTGTTTAAAGTCCAAAATTGGGCTTTTGGAGCCCAGCTTATGATTTCTATAAAATGGGGTAAAAATAATATCTAACTCATGGGGTTGGTAAGATCATTCAAATTAGATAATATATGCAAACTCCTTAACCCAAGGTTTAGGACTTAGAAAACTCAATAAATGCTTCACTTTTTCTTTCTCAGTGTATTCACCCATGCAAACACATGTAGTGAAAAGGGGCTTGTCAATGGCTATATAAAGGCTGAAGATAGGCAGGCTAAGGACTGAAGAGAGGCTACTGTTGGGATGGCAGTATAATCCCCAAATATTCCTTAAGAATTGACACTGTGTATTTATCTCATGATCCATCCAACACAGTCCTGGGTATGTAGAGGAGCTAAATGAATCCATGTTAAATTGAGTAGAGTTTGGATTAAAAACAAAGTTGAATAAAAATAAAGCCTGGAGACATTAACCCAAACCAGGAGACATTGCAGATTTTTCTACAGAGATCACGTTGAGGGACATGGTCACTTTCTTGTCTAGGGTGGTATCTAAAGAAAGACAGATTAAGTTAAAGGAATCTAGATTCTGTTTCTAGCTCTTAAAGTACTAATATTTCCACAAAAGTAGAGAGGAAGGAACTGACTTCTTGCAGTATGTACCAAGTGTCACATTCTCTCCATCAGCCTATACTGTCTCATTCAATCCCAGTTCTTATATAACAAACCACCTATCATGAAGCTTAAAATGATGACATTTATTGTGTTCATATATCTGAGAGTTGACTGGGCTCAGTGAGCACAAGATTCTCATTAGGCTAGAGTGAGAGGCTGGCTCTCGTGTCATAACAAAAAGTTCTTGAACTATATATATGGCATCTGGTAGAAAGTTCAGACAGCTGGGGCTGTTGTCCCCTCCCTTCTCCCCCACCCCTCTCCTCCTTCCTTCCCTTCCAAGTAGACTTTCCACATGGCGGCTTCATGGTAGACTGGATTCTTACATGGCAGATGGACACTTCCAGAGTGAGTGGACCAGCACTGATGACATGATCTTTTCTAACTAAGCTTCAAAAATTATGTAACATCACTTTTGCCACATTCTGTTAATCAAAGAAGTCACAAAAGCCATTTGAGTTCAAAGAACTTCATCTTTTGATGGGAAGGGTGTCATGTGGTTTGCAGGCATGTTTTAGAACCACTAGAGGCCACCTTCTTGCAAAGTTATTTACATTTCTCTCAAATACAAAATAGACTCATTACCTCCTAGGATCCCCCCAAAGTATCATCTATTGTAGCATCAGGCTCAGACTCAAGGTCCAGAATATCTTCATCTAAATCACGTTCATGAATGATGAGTGAAGCTTCAGATGGATGAGGCTTCTCCAGTGTGGTTCCTTAAGTCCTTGAGTATAGCTCTTTGAGTAACATTCTTCTCAATCCAAAGCCTTCTGAATTAAACAAGCTACCTGCAAACATTTTGTCTTATTTTCTGAAATGCTTTTACTTTCATGGGCTTTGTGCTTTTCTCAGAGTAATGAAATGAGCTCCAAAAACTTAAAATACACACACACACACACACCCACACACCCACACCCACACCCCCACACACCCTACCCCTCCCCCCAATCATGCTGAATCATGCTGTCTCTTCATTCACATGCCTGCACCTGAGCTGGGACTCAGATAGTTAGGTGCTAAAATAGCTGAGATTCCTTGGGTTTATCTTTCTCCCTCTCTATTACCTCCATATGGTATTTCCACATGACAGCCTCAGATAGGTTGACTTTTTAAATACATGATGCTACATTCATATAATGGATCATTTTACAGCCATCAGAAATTGTGTTTTTAGAGCCTTAATTATATTTGAAAATATCTAGTACATAAAATATGTGAAATAAATCAGGGTACAGATTATGTATCATTAAGAATCATTCCATGAGGTAACTAGACAGAAATATATAAAATGTAATAGCTATCTCTAGGGTGTCATATTCTAGACTATTTTAAAATTTATTTCTATTCTCTGTATTTCCACATTTTCTACAAAAGGCTTTGTATTAATATTCAGGGAACACATGAAAATAATAGAGGCTCATAGATACTAAGGACCTTTCACAAGGTTCAAATTGCTGTGAGTTTTCAAATTGAGATTTAAGCCCTGGTCTCTCTTAATTCCCAACACTGTACTCCTCTCAATGCTGTGTTTTCTTCCTAGAGGAAGAACTGAGATCACATCAGCCTTAGTTAATAACACTTACTCTACATATACTATCTGTCTGGCTTTAAATATTCAAGCCTACTGTCTTGTCCACTCACACTTACTCAGCAGTCATGAGGAAGGCATGGTGAGTAGCGTGTCTGTGCTTTAGGGTGAGTATTCACGATCTACGTCCCTTGGCCTTTAGAGAGCACAGGACTCACTGTCCTTTAGATGTTACCTGTGTGAACTGAGTTTGTACATTTTGACTCATAGATCTTAGTTGGCCTCCCTGGACTCAGGGTTTTTTGGTTTTTGTTTTTTTGGTGCCAGCCTGTTCAGTAGCTGCCAGCCTCTTCCTTCAGCATCGCTTTCCTAGTTGCAATATTTTCTTGCTTTGTAGGTTTTCCTCAACCCACACCAGCCTCACACATCTACCTCTAAATGGGACCAGCATTTCTTTGTATGATCCTAGAGGTCTGTACCCAACTCTTCCTTTTCACAGAGTTTTAAACAACTCAGTTTTGCAAGGTCAATATTCAGGTGAAAAGCTAATCAGCAAGCTTTTCTTAAAATATAATGATCGACTATTGGACCTCTGTTAACAACTTTATTATCAGGCGCTAA